ATAAGATATTATATCCTTATGAATCTCGTGTTTCATTTATCATCTTTTACATAGTAATGGTGAAAATTCATTAGGTTTGGTGTACGTACAGGTACACTAGCCTTTTGCTTACATCACAAATTTCACAAGGTCCATGAAAATAAATTTTTAGAGAGTTGCAGCCATAATTCTGATTTTATGTGTTGCACGCATAAAACTCATAGAGTTAACTAGAAGTGCATTTACATAATGAAATGACATATATATTTTTCTTTCCTTACACTCAAATTTTAGTCATCGTTAAACAGCTGTCTGTCCCTCAAAGCTCCGCGATCAAAGATTTTCGCACTTGACCTTGCCCCTTTACACTCTAATGTAGATGTCGACCGATGTGTTTGTCAAATTATGAACAAATGAGCGAATTTTACGCCATATCGTTTGTACACATGTGCTCAAGAATTGAAAACACAGATGCCCTTACACGCTGTCCTCGAGGAGAGATGTGATATGAATTACCCGATGCACGTGCTACCGTAGAATTTGGAAAAAACGCAATATCATGGCAGGATTCTCATAGCATTTCTCTATAAATTTGTTAAGTCGGGTAGCTTAGAGAGCATTGATTTAATTTTCCTTCAAAAGCGGCCAGTTTGTCAAAAGGTTATCCGTATATTCCAAAATCTATAGATAATTCCGAACGGAAAAATACTGCTCACGCGACTGCATTGTTTCCCCTGACTCCGGCAAATAAAAGGCCATATATTGTGTTATCTCCGACCGAGGTGTGACTGCCCTCTTTATTGGATGTTTTAACCTTTATAAACCGTTAAAAGGGTTCGATTGATCGTCTCATTGTTAATTCGATGAATTTGACTGATATGCTATTTAAATACTGAGACTTAATTGCCAATTGTGATAAAATATGTCCCAACCTCGTATTTTATCATGGCGCGTAGGTGCTGTTAATATGACCGATGAAAAAAGGCGGTGTCTTTGACAGGCCCCCAGGTGGGACAGGTCTTCGCCTTGAAAGTCAAATATCTATAATTTGACAAACTTACTAACAACATCATCAGCTTATATTTTTTTTATTTAATTGGCAGATATGCCAAGCATTTGTTTTCAGCGCTGTGAAAGTTAACAATTCTAAAACAATGAAATTTAGCTGCGAGCAATCAGTGACCACTTTTTAACCATTTATTTTCACAAATGTTCTTAATTTTTACGTGTGGCTGAATGATAAAAAACGGTAAATTTTGAAACGTATGCAGTAGAGTGATGGAGCTTTTTTCTTGTGATGTTTAGAAGGGATATCAGCATATGTTAGCAAAGATCAGTGGGCGCATGGAAAATAGCTTCAAAGGGGACTAAAATCGTTGAACTTTAGAACAATTTGCATAATTTCAATGAACCGAGGAGCAGTGACATTATTCAGAGTCTTGGAATTACCCTTTAAAATGTATTTCTCCGTGGTTGGCATCTTATTGCAGTCAACGGCGAATTCCTGTCGTCGTGTCATTAGCAATGTATCTGCACAGTGATAGATGTTGACACAAGCGTTGTCGTTAGATATGAATATGAAACAACCACTGTAGAAATTCATGCAGCTCACATGAACTCTCTGTTGGAACTGCCATTCATCTTCAGAATTCATCTCAACTTGAATTAATATCTACTCATGCCAATGGCTGTTAAAACGCCCTTAAATAATATCACTGAAGCCGCGGCGTACCTTACAAATTACGACTTTAATCGACAATGAAGAATAGGAACTTTGATTGAGATTTAAGTATGGTATTAACATTGCTTTTGACTCGACAAGTATTCCCTACGGGCAGAGCGTTCGGAGCAAGAAGCACAGATGGAATTCCGGGCGTTTCATGAGCTCAAGGGCGTCTTTAGACGTTCAAGTTTCGAAAAGTATACAGCAATCTTGTATACAGAAACCACTAATTATTAAGTAGATGTGATAATTTCATATATGGGAATAAAAAATACGTGGCGCCATGTTTTTTTGTTGGAGCTTTATAAACAGTCATATCAGGCACTTTAATGGATGATATAACTACCAGAGTGGCTAAAACTTTGGTGATGTTCAGATATAAAATATATGAATGTCTACATATATCTGACCTAATTTAGATTATTTATGGTATGTAATCTTCTGATAGAATATCTTATAAGAATTTTTTTAAAAAATAGGTAAACAATCCATTTTGCCTAGCTTTTTCGATTAAATTTTATGTATTTGCTTTATGCATATCTAAGTATTCTATACTTGTGAATAAGTTACGACAAAATAATGGCCAAATGTTTTTAATAATGGAAGTCATATTGAATTATTTTCCCTGAGAGATGTTACAGAATATGGGGAATATAAAGCAGTAGAATGAAAGAAACAGCCTGACAATTTTAATTGCCTGTTTATCTGACTGTTTTCCCTTTGAGTCAAAACGTGACAAAAATAACCCCGGGTTTTGGTTGAATTAACCGAAAGTCAAACTCTATGCTAACCGTTAAAGAATTTTTGGAAACGAGCTGTCTTCAAAAGAATTAACGCCATTTAAAGTACAAAGACTGGCAAACTCAACCTTTATTATTTATTATCATTTTGCACTGCGCCCATGACTGTTTTTGAACGTGGCGTGCCACGCGTTTGTCGTGCTACTGGGGTGGTTCCCCTTTAATTTGCGATTCGCTAATAACTGGTTTGCTGCCGCGGATGACCGAAAGAATGACGCGCCCGTGCACCTGTAGTGGTCACAAACTTCATCAGTGATCATCAACAGGCCGTTAAAACCCATTCACTTCTTTAATGAAGTATTTACAAAACCATTTCTCATAAATCAACGACACTTGTTTTAAAATTGGACATGCTTATGTGTATGACTACATTGTTTTCTTTACGATGACCATCGCTGCCTCTCGTGTACATTGCGATTACACAGCGCTGTCTTCATACTCGATAAACAAAAGAATCCTATGGTGCTACAAGGTAATTGCAGCGCGAGCTGAAGACCCCAAAATACTAGATAATAAATTAAGATCTTTTCTAACGTTTATTGTAACTGTCAGGATAGCGCATTGCATGTTGTGTGGATATTAACACTGGAAACTACTACATTATCAACAAGTCCACATTCTTCTCCAACAAGACGGCAGTAGTACAAGTTAAAGGTTTACTTTCAATGTACAGCGTATGGAGCTTTTAGAAACATAAGTCAAATCAAATGGGAAAGTTTTTTATCGTGGGTGAAAGATTTACAGACATTCTGAAATCTATTACATGAACGTTTCGACTTCCTAATTTCGAAAAAAAGACTCCATCTCGAACAACCTAACGCTCTTAAAAGTAGTATTTGAAAAGAGTTCCGAAAATGTAAGTAAAATATGAAACGTAACAGATAAGTTTTGCTGATAAAGAGGGATATTAAATTGTTGCACGTGACGTTTGTCTGACTAATTTGACATGAGAATTTGATCCACCTCGCTTACCTACAGAAAGAGACGCTCGGGTTTCAGGCAAGCTGTGCTCACGACAAGCAACGGCTTACTTCAGGCAGGAAATATGGTATCACCAAAAATCTCGCCTGCTAAGATGAACTATAAAAAGCATATATTTGATGTTTTAACCACAGTGGCAGACGACCCCAGCCTGGCAGTGGGAAAGCGCGCGTGAACGAAACACCCCTCAAAGTACGCGACCCCGGGATAGGAACTAAATACCCACGAAATCGCTTCTGTGCCTGTCTTGTTAGAGAAGCAATGGGCCATGGTTGACTGGCAGCGGTCTGCCTTCGACATGTGTCTGTCGTTCAGAGCTTAATAAATCATCCATCAAACCACCAAAGGGCTCGTTACCAACATTAAAGATGTCATATTACTTCCTGCAACCTTTGCTGTTTGTCATCAGAACCCTGAATAAAACAAAATGCCATCACAAAAATTGCCGCAATATAACAACTCTCCTGGTATGAAGAATTAATTCAGTCGTAGATTTTTCCTTATTTAGCCACTCCCGTTTCTGTGCCATTATAGTATTCATTCTTTCAGGCTGATGGTGCTGATCCCTTTGTGTGTTGCAGGCCGGCGTTGATGCCAGTGGGTGCAGATCAGACGGGGGAAGCAGACCCTTCCAGTATGGAAGCTTTTTGCTCTACATTTTAGACTCGGCTGCCGTTTCAGTTGCCAACTTCTGTAATGTTTCTTGGTAAAATTAAGAAAAAACAAAATAGCCTAGCCTAGCCAAAGGCTTTTCTCTGTTCTTTTATTTATTAATATTTTCTATTTCTATTTTTTCGACTCCTTCCTTTTTTTTAAACAAAAATGCGATAAATAGGTATTCTGTTAATGTCACGCTGATGCAGACATCCATTTAAATGAAAGTGAGCTGATCGACTGAAGGAGACAATTTCTTAACAAATTAATAGTTTTTTATGAGGAAGATTGATCATCTAATGCCAAAACTTGCTGTGATGATAATATTCCCATTCTCGCTGCATAGCGTTAATTAGATTTATTTGTTTTATATGAGATGAGGGGTAAATGATATGTCCAACTTCATTTTGATTAAAGTTTGTGAAAGGTGATGAATTAATGTCCGAAATGGTAAACTAAGACGTATCTCCCGCGCTGCGCATGACAGGCAAGCACTGCTTAAATACCGATAACGTTTCTTTCGGGGTACAGCTTATTAATTTAGCCCGACATAATGAACTCTGTGATTGGTGGAGATGGCCAAACTACTTCTCGATAATTGAATTAGGCTCGCATACAAGTTATTTTTGAATAATTAAGGACCAACACTTGACGTTTGTTTCTTCTGTCTCTGATTCCAAGAAGTTCCTCCTCTGTAAGGTGAGGGGGCATGTGGATTCTGTCTCTGCTGTTACATATCCTTCTACATTCCAAGCGCCTCATATTCTCCTCTCTCCCCATTCCTTCGTTGATTTGTTGATTGTTTCTTACATAATATATGCATAGCTTTTCGGAGTAATAGGTCTTGTGGTGTTTATAGCATAAGAAGGGAGACTGATGTGAGTTTATTCCGCTGCAGCCTTTGCACCTCGACGGCCCCCGTCTGCTGATAGTGCTCATTATTCTCAATTTGGGTGAAATGAACATTTTGTTTTTTGTCAACCCAGGGTTAAGTGGCTTTAATTTTGATAAACTTGGACATCTTCCTCGGCTTCTGGATGATGCAGGTTATCGGCCAAAGATATAAAAGCAAGCAGAAGGAGTAGGAGTCAGTAAAACAGTTAGCAAGATTACGTTAATGACACCACGCAAGCAACTCGAGCACTTGTGCGGCCTCTTAAATACCAGCTAGTTTTCATTGGCAGTTTTGAAGTCGGAGAAAACGTAGATGGACGGTTAAGCAGCGCGTGCGAGGAAAACAGAAGGGGAGACGGGGGTTAAAGTGGAGCTGACTTCTATGAGCTTCGACAGATCGAACAAGTCAGTCGACCGGAACGCGCCTGGTTGGCCACACAATACATGTAACATCATATTAATCGTCGGCCGTATTTCCTTAACTAACTAGAAGACTGCGTTCAAAAATCTAGTCCCTGTTTATTAGTCAAAAACCGCGACGCAGCACGAGTCGATGGTGCCATCTTCTTTAATTTGCTGTCATCTCGTCTAATTTTCATCTTTATGCAAATTCTGATTATCGCTAGTGCAGTCAGGCAGAGGAGCTGACTCGATACCAAGTCGAGGAACAAAAGCGGTTTCCATTTAAGCTGAGAATGCATTGAGAGGCCGGCTCATAAACGGCAACGGGATATATATATATGACAACATCACGATAATTGAACAACTGATTTATACCATAGAGAAGATCATTAATTTTGGATTGTGCTTTCATGGACATAAGGCAGGCATTATTTTTGTTGGTGCAGAAAAATTCGGTAGGGTAAACAGGTCCCAATAACTCACCGCTAATGGACTAGCAGCGTGAAGAAGCAATATTAATAGAGTTGCCGCTACTACCGGTTGATGTCTAGAGGGGAATTATTTGTTGTGCAGACGGCTTCAGTGCTTTCGGGTCGAGGGAAGTCCACTGGACGACACTTCTAATCGAAAGTTTTGCCATCAGAGAAAAACAGAAGTTTTGAGAAGAACGACAAAAACCACTATGTCTTCCGGATCAGAATCGGACGACAGCTGCAAGGAAACTTGTATGGACATATCAACATCGCCTTCATCGTCAGATTTTTATGAGCCCATCAAGAAACTAGCGAGCGTGCAGCTTTTTCCTCCAAGAAATCCGGAGAAACCTTTCACTCCGTTTTCCATTAGTGACATTCTAGCTCCAAGAGACAATAAGCCATATATAACCAATAACAATAACAACAATAACAGTAGTAGCACCAACAATAACAATGTACATTTTGTCCGGCCGTGGGACACAAGTAGCACCAGTAGCAGTAATGGGCATATTGCTGAGGACGAGGAGGAAGATGAAGATATTGAGATAGACATTGTTGACAATGACAAGGCTATTTTAGACAGGGTGAAGCCATCGCCATTAGATGCACTTTTCCAAATGACAAGTAAAACATTTGAGGGTCTCGATGCCCATGGCAATCTACGAGAAGGTGAGGTGGTTTTCATTTTCAGTAATATATATATTTTTTGTATTTCATCTTAATTCTAATTTGGCGCAATAGGACTTAATCTTCAAATCTTTTAGGATTAAAATCATATACAAACTTTTACTTTGTACTAAAAAAATTCAAAATCATATTATTTTCAATTCAAGCGATTCTTCAGTTTTTTAGAAAAGAGTACATGTGGTTCACAGAAAAAGGTACTAAAAGCTAGTCATTGTTTAGTCATCATAATTTTGAAAAATGTTCTTCGCGGTCATTGGACATTCAAAGATAACATCAATGAATAAAGGAAATTCATTTTAGGCTTTTCCTATAAAAACTTACTGATGGTAAATTGTGAGAAAATACAAGCAACCACAATTTATAAAAAAATCTATTTAATAAAAATGTCAAATGTAAACAGGTTATTATTATTTAGTAGGAAGGAAATGGTATTATTTGAAATTTTTTCTCTGCATTGACTAAAAAGTGCTTTAAATATGTAAGATTTTTTAATTTTTTTCTTATTATTTTTAAAACTCGAGCGAAGATATTCTTTATTGCCAAATTGAAAGGGTGATATGAAAACCAAAATACACCTTTAAATACATCTATTAAAATTACATAAACTGAATTGTTCGAAATATGGTGGCACTTTGGGGCCAGGTAACATGTTGAACTTCTTTAATCAGCATAGTCCTAAAAATAATTGCTTTTATCGCTAAAGACGTAAGACGCGAAAGATAACCATAACGAGCATTCTTTGTGCTTTACCTTAAGGTTTTGAAACAAAATTACCTTTTAATTTGGGATAATTATTACGCTATAAATGAGGTCAGACGCTGTGTCATTTCATCCTTGTCGACCCTTCATCAATCTCTCCGTCCATGTTGTCCCGGGCCCGTCCAGGTGGCTGGCGTTCATCAATCACCGCCGTCCCGCCCGTTCTCGGCTATTGCGCAAAGATCATGAGATAGCCGGTGCACCAAGACACTTATCTGATAGACTACTTAACACGTGCCTTCTGGTTTGTTCTGTGTTTTCTAATAGTGAAACCATTAAGTTCTTGTCTCTAGCGTTTTACGTGTATCACACCGATCAGGATAATTGTAAGTTATTTGTTTAAATAACCGCAAAAGTAGATATCAGTGAATATTAGATGTGAACGAAAATATTTTCCTGAGCATTTCATAAAATATTAAGCGTGTTCTTTCTTAAAATATATTATTATCTTTCTTATTGCCTCTCAAACGTAGCCGATGGTGAGAAAAATAAGATTTTGTTATATTAAAAAATAAATCCTATTTAACAGTGACATTATAACTTCCATATTTCGATATGTCTGTATTTCTCATTTTCTTTTTCTCGATCGTGTTGTCCTGGAAGCACCGTCACTGGGTCCATTTACCTGTCTGTGTCAGCGACGGAACCGCCATAGCCTGCACGATCCTCTTCCCAAATACTTGTGTCGGACCGAAAGTGACAAAGCATCAGTTATCTTCCATTAGTAAATCAAATTGCTTGGCGCAACGACAGATTTGAATTTTAACTAGATCTGATCAAACGAACAAAACACATTTCTAAAAAATTCTCAGCAATCCGCCGTATTTATTCAATAATTGATGCGCCAAGTAATGGGAAGTGACAGTAAGACAAGGCAACTCTTTACTTCAGGCATGTGATTAGGAATTGCAATTGTTACTTCGTGATAGGAGCTCTAACAAAGCGTCTGACAAACACAAACAAGAACAGCAATATGGAGTCAAGTATGTTTCAGTTGAAAGTTTCACCATGAAAAAAAATTCATTTGAAATTTAATCAGTTTACAGCTTAATCAACAATCTTATTCATGTTGCAGAAGGTATTCTAATTTGCTTAACACTTATAGCTGTATCGTATGATATGCTCATTTTTTAACACGTTGGAAATTACTCCCATGCGACACATTTGATTTTAATAAACTCTCAACGTTCTCGTTAAACTGTATTTCCAGAGACACAGGCTGTCCCGAAAATTCTGCCATTTGTGTAAGCATAAACGGACTATTCATCAAAACCTCTTAACAATACCTAAACGATTAGATAATCAAGATTACATCCCCATTATCATATATATCTCTGAACTCCATCTCATTTAATAGATAAGGTCCTTAAAGCTCGTTTGCTCGTTTACTCGTCATAGGAAGAAAAAATTACCTGGGCAATTAACGAGAAGAGACTGATACGGACAGATAGAGATCGAGCAATCTTTGAAGAATTTTCTGGTTGGCGCTGGGCGTCCTTCAGTGTGTACGATTTCATTAAGCTTACCCCAAAACAAGACATTTCCTGCATTATTCTTACAGCCACTACACTGCATAGTTTTTTATCACTAACTGAACGAACAAAGGGGCTTCCTGTTAGGGCTGTCAGCATAGCTGCACTAATCAGGAAAAGGACTGCTTGAAAGCCGCCCTGTTTGCTGAAAATAATATTTCATCAACCTTCCAAATAGTCTTCACGCTATTTTTGACTATTACTTCGACTAAATTATTCGGGCTTTTTGTCTGTCTCTTTATATATTATTATTTAATACTAGTTTTCTTTTCTGTCAATATTTTAGCATTTCTTTCTTGTTACTTCCATAATAAATGTTCCTGTGGCTCTCATTCTACACAAATTCATTGTAGGCGACGTTGATGAACTCAAGGTTTCTTTGTTAAAGTTTTTTATGGGCCTGGGTGAGAGTCGTGACTGTCATACGCGTTCACAGCGTCGGTTCGCAGCCAGTGGGCATCACCTAACTGCCGGTTATGACAGCGGCGAGTTGCAGTTCACTCCTACTCGCCTGCTGAATTATTCCAAGTTACTTACTTTATGTCTCTTTTCATCAACATCTTGTTTTTTTACGAGAGATAACAACGCATATTATTTCACAGCACGTGCCCCCTTTATTCCTATACATACTTTGTACTTGATGTTGTGGTGCATGTTCATTTGAAAAAAAAATGAATAAATAGAGATGCGGAAGGCGGCATTGCTGCTTATTATTTCGGTTGGAAAAATATGGATGTGAGGTGCTTATTTTCAAAGTATTCTTAATATTTTTGTTCGGTAGCGTTGTATTTATAAAAAACGTACATAACAAATCCCAAACTAACGCATCTTTTCAAGGAAAATCTAAGGGCGTCACGTAACGGGAGCGTCTTTCTCGCAGCGAATTCAGTATAGAAGCCATAATTTAATCATGATCAATTACACATAAGAAGCGATAAAACCCTGTCTAGGGCAAGTGAAGATAGATATCAGTTTTACAACGAGTTCGTACCCCAGGCCCACGCAGCCACTGTATCTACGATCTGACGCTACAAACGGACAAGCCCCTCATTAACAGCCTCATTCTGACCATTTTCGTCTACTTTATGCTTTCAATGGTCTTTTCTTGTGATTGGATGCGACGTTGATCGCAGGATGTTTAAGGTGTACACAGCTCCGCGGTCCTCCGGTAGCCTCGTAAATCTGCTCCCCGCTCACTTTATCATCCCGAAAGTAGCGGTAAACAAGCTGCTCACCTCTCACAGACCTGCCAGGCGCCAGCCACTTAAAGCCTGCTAAATTACCAAGTAGTCGTTAACAGATAATGATTTTATTAACTAATGGATAGAGTGTCAGGGGTTAAATTGATCACCTCTCTTTACATCCTCTTCGCCCCCTGCCCCCCCCCCCCCCCCCCCCCCCCATCCCAAGCTCTGTCTCAGAGTTTCTAACTTTACCCATTTTGGCATTTTTGACTATTGATGGTCCTTACGCTTACTCTCTTTATATCTCTATCCCTTTCTATCCCTCTCTAAACCTCTTTCTCTCTCAACGCTTTTTCTCTTTCTCTCTCTCTCAATCGTTTATTCATTACCGATCGTTAACAGGGCACACCAAGAACCGTGTAGCTCTTATCTGCTGGGTTGTTATGAGAGTTTCTACAGGCATCACGAGAAAATAAATCCATTTAAGTAATCTTTTATTGCCTGATGTCGAGGCAAATTACCTAAATAATTAAGCGTAAAGGAGCTATAATGACCTACTTTAATATTTCATGAAGCTGAAATGGATCAGTTTCACACTCAGGAGCGGATCAGTCGAGCTGTTAATTACATTTCGTGTAATCATCTAATGGAATTCATTGTTTAGGATAGATAGACTGTGTCAGTTTCAAGTGGCTTATAGATTGAATGAAATCTCCTAAATAAGAATTACACTTAGAGAAGGGGTGATTAGCAATGGAAAAATGGATGTAATTCAATTAAGAGGTATTTTAGTGGGCTGATTATTCTTAAATGAGGTTTTGTGTTTCACTGCCCGAGCTAACTATGATATACTGCAATAATGCGTTAACCTTTCTCCCGGCTGCGCCTCAAATGCAGCATATAAAAGACTCGCTCGTGTTTGAACCGCAGAATACTTTGTCTTTATACCCCAAAATAAAAGATATAATTCTGTCAAACAATGGACATCATTTATTATACATTTTAATCGGCTGTTTATAAACTATTAAGACGTAACGTCATCAGTCCTTGTCGTCTGAACGGACTACTAATCGGACGTTCCCTGAACCCCCGCACACTGCGTGGTTGTTGAAGACGAGGAACGTTATCCGTGCCTTGTCATGATAAAAAGAAGATAAGATATTTTTTGAAAAATTAATTATTGTACTTGTGACAGTCTCATTCTTCACCTGTCTTCTTTTTGCATTCTTATCCTCGTATTCTCAAAAATGGAGCATATCAAAGGCTCTCTCGCCACTCTTGCGGACAAAGAGAAGATAGTAAGGCATTATTGTGAGTAGTAATGTTGAAGATTAGCGTTGGAGGATGCCATATTTTGTTATAACTTCTGTCATGCACAGCCCATCTATTTATAATTTAATTTGAATATAATATTCATTTTCCAAAAGACAAGTCCAAATCATACGCGTAATAACAGGAGCAAACATAACCTTGGGTAGTAGTAAAGGTTTCAAAGAGAAATGTATAGTGGCACGTACCTCAGCTACTAACAGCCCCCGTTAACAAGTTGAAAAAAAGCTGTTTGAGTGTAAGAGGTTAGGCTTGTTGTAGAGTATAGTTATCCCATCCAAATTATGATTTGTGCCTCAGTATTGCCACGCACTTCTTAGTGTCAGGCGCGGAGATAGCGGACGGCCATTTGCGGTAGGGGGAGATTGGAAAACTCTTTGATGGTAGCACCGTGTTGCCAATTGCGGAAACTTTAATTACAGGTCGAGTTCTACTCGCAATAAAATCTAACCTCTATGAGTTCGTTCTCCCTGTTATCTAGACGGCACGGGGATCCCATTCCCTTTTAAGCGCGCTAAATTTCAAACATTTATCACAGATTAATTATTTAAATGTTCCAGAGGAAAATGAGCCGGAGCCATAAAGAACGATAAAAAGCGACAAGCAGCTGACTCCGTGAAATATAGGTTCAGATGTAATAATACTGTCAATTTTTAAAGTGAGATTATCGTCTTTCAAGTTAGTTGCTAAAAGCTTCGTTTTGGTGTTATTGCGAGTAGCTGGATGATTGGTTAAAGTGTCTGAATATTTCATCTTTGTTGGACAACGCTGCGCGTTTTTGTTCCCAGGACAAAACATTAGGTGCTTTTAAAGAAAATATATGAGCTAATAACCGAGAGAATCACAACCATTTATATTATTCAATTAAATTACCCCCATCAGACCTTGGGGCCTCCTAGCAGGTAAAAAGGATACTTGAAACAAAGCCAATTTAGCTTTATTGGGAACTATTTAAGGAGAATAATAGCTGACAAAGATTCATTGCCAAAAATTATGGCGCTATCTGAAAAACTAAATGCCATTGCAAAACATTAAAGAGTTTTGATAGTTAGTATATTTTATCTACCACTGTGTGCGTGAATAGTCCTCCCGACATAACATTTCCATTTAAATTTTGTACTTAACCTGCCAAAGAAGTTGTCTTTTCCTCATTATTTTTAAACATCACTATTATAAAACGGTTCCACTGACAACTAAAGTGTCTGGGCGGCCCATGAATCAAGTTTCTTTCATCTTTATATTTTGGGTTGAACGGTTAAACGTTCTTTTATTCCTGTTTTGCATGTCGTTAACTATCGGTCTTTTAACCTGTACAAATAGCACATGCTCTGCTCTCTGAAATCGCTACTCTACCTAGCACATAAAAGTGCATATTGTTGGGAAGCTATGATCAATAATAGTTGAGGGGGAAATGCACTGTTTAGTTGGCCAGCTTAACTTTACATGTCTAAGAAGCAAGGCCAACAACTTTCATGATCTTCATCAAGAAATAAAGTAATAATATAAATCAAGCGTTAAATAACTCGATTGTTTTGTCGGCTGACAAGTCCAACAAATCATCTGTAACCTGACGCGATGAAGAACATTAAGAAGTGAAGGATGACTGTTTCTCAAAATAACAAGATGTAGAAGAGCAACCAGTGGCAGCCGGTTCTGATACCTGTTAAACCTACATCATCATAAAACATGGTAGAGCTTGCGTGATTAACTTGTAACGCTCATTTAGTGCTTTCTGTACCTTATATTTGACTTTTTCCGGGGTTTCGTTACATCTGGTTTACAAGTAATCATACATTCTTCCGGAACTGAGGATAAACAAAGTACAGCAGATTCCCTTACATTATGATTACCGTATTTTTTCAGTACGCGTTTGTACATGGGTTACAATTATCTATATATTTCCATACTTATAGAAAAAAGTTTAAAGCATATGCTTTTTCACTGGCGGATACAGATACTAAAATAAGGAAGGGGCGGCACTTTTTAAACTCTCCTCCCCACCTTCTTTACTGCAAACATTAAAAAAAAAACCTTTGGATCCGCCTATGTTTATCATTGCTCCACTACATTCACCATATTTGAGAAGATGTTTTTATCTTTGTCTCTGAATGTCTGACAACACATTTGTGAATGAGAATTATGTGCTTAATTGAAAATGCAAGAAAGGTTTGATGTAACCTAGTCCTGAATGATGGAGACTCCTTTTTAATGAATCAATAAACGCTTAAATGAATAAAAGAAATAAAAAATTAAATAACCCTCTAATTAACTTATATAAAACTTGGCAAAGGGAAATTTATTTTATTAAATTGATTTTTGGAACGATAAACAAAAAGAACTGGTATAAAAAAATTCACACAAGCTACAAATGACAAGTATATAAAAAATGGTCCTTTTCAGCAAAAAATAATAATAATAAATAAAAAGAGAAAAGCTCTTGCACCTCCGTTTCGGTACCATTAAGCAGGTCCAAATGCATACTGTAAATCAATTTTACTAAGCAAGACTGCTTGATTTCGAAAATAACTACACTGAAATGGCATTGTTATGCAGAGAAAATCGTTTTTTCCCTTGTTCTTTGTCACAATATGAGTTAATCATTAAGATTTATCAAACATGTCTGATATCACGTAGTTTCTTCTTCTCTTGTTGTTATTATTTTTTTCATTCATTTATTTATTTACATTTTGTTTGTTTCTTTTTAGAATCCTCTCGGCGGGACCATTTGTCGGTGTTCAGCAAGCAGCCAGCTTCAAAAAAGAGGAGAAAATCCCGCACTGCTTTCACAAATCAACAAATCTATGAACTCGAAAAGAGATTTTTGTATCAAAAATACCTGACACCCGCTGACAGGGATGAGATTGCTCAAACTTTAGGACTTTCGAACGCACAAGTGATAACCTGGTTCCAGAACAGGAGGGCTAAACTGAAACGAGACCTCGAGGAACTGAAGGCTGACGTCACGGCCACAGCGAAAGTACACCCAGTGCACAAGGTGCTGATGGAGCAAGTTGAAGACATGAACGCAAAACGGAACGAAATTCTAAAAAAGAAAGAAGAAGCGGCCAAAAGACTGGCCCTAAATATAACAAAAGACGATTTTAAGGAATAATGAATGGGTTTTGTTGTGGGTGTTTTTAATGATGCACATAGTGAAAAATAATCCCAACTGCACGTCATTGTATCCACGTCGTTCCCAATATTGAAAGAAAACAGCGCCAACCTGACCGCAGCGGATTATTGAACCAGAACGCGCAAAAAAATCAGACGAGCACGTGATTTAGTGCATTCGTTGCTATATTTTATTGGTGCTAAGCATTCTCGAAAGACGATACGTAAAAATAATGCAGTGCTAGTTACTGTATTTGGTGCTTCTTATACTCGGTACCGTGTAAATTCATTTTGCTGTGCAAGCGGTGTCGAAGCCATTGTTATACGGTGGGGGGCCCACCTTGACAATATGCATTTAGACATATTCTTTGTGAACGAGACGGCATTCGATTTGTGGTTTGTATGACAAAGTCTAATAAAGGGTTAGTATGTCTTGCAGAATACTATTTTAATAGCTTTGTTTTTTAATTGGTGGATGACAAAAGATCAAAGGTGGCCTGGATTTTGACATTCCGCACGTGCTCCTTTCTCCATGAATTGATCTCTTACTTTATGTTCCGTCAAGCGTTTTTTATGACAAGGCCTTGAAAAAGACATGCGAACTCAACATAAAGCACACGAGGCATTATTCCAGAAATTAATTTTTTTCATTTCAAAAACAAAAATGATACTGGTTGTTTTTTTTTTTTTATAATTTTCAACTTTAGTTCTGAAGATATTTTAGCAGTTTTTAAAATATATTTTTGATTCCTTTGCCCTGAAAGGAATCCAAAATTGTGGAAGAGATACTTAAAGATATTACTTTAAAACATGACCCAATTTATCCAGAACTAAAAAACCATAACAACTAGGTATTTTGACCAAAATGTTTGCTTGTACATGTCATATATACTTTGGTCTGCAACAACAGTTTGGAAAGCAAACGTGGAAACTGCAATGTAAGACTCCTTCTATCAAAACATAATGAAAAGAAATAAAGAAATAAAACATATATATATATATGCACGTCTAAAAATTATGTATATACATAATTATTTGCATATGATATGATGTGTATGCATATATAAATATAAATAAACGAAAGCGGCCTCATAGAAATCCTTTGCAAGTTCCTATTACGGTACATGTACATTGAGTTGGTGGTGAGTATTCAGAATAATGAAGCTACTTTGTTTTTCTCCACTCCTGTGGCATCAATCGTTGAAAATTTTATATATTTTGTTAATGGAAATGCTGACGTCGATGCACCTTATATCACCCCGGCAGTGTCTTGCATCAAAATGTCTACCTAATCGATTTGCTTTCCCTATCTGTTGTTTTAAAAAGTGGCGCATTAAATGCTATTCTACTCCAGTGCATACTTGTCTAATCTAATATTTAGTCAAGAAATGAATCTATTTCCCGTAAATTTTCATGTACAGGCCAAAAAACCTGATCTACAGTAAACCATATCTTATAGTCCTTTTCCGTGTCATTATTAGTTTAATCATGTGCTCGGCATAATTTATAATCCAACGAACAAAGTTCATCCCTCTCCTTATCCATATCATTTGTTTTCGCTGATGACTACATTCGCTACATACTTTAAATGCTTTTTTGCTTAAATTGATTACTAATCACATTCGTTGCACAGTGGTCCTCTGTCATCCGTTAGCACAAACAATCTTTTATAAAGCAGTATTGTTTTTATACCGTGGCAGCCTTTAATTGACGGAGGAAGGGCTTTAGACAACATATGACAATAAATCCTCAGTAGATTGACCAGGTGCGGAGTGGACGCTTAGTTCAATGGCTTTACTCATGCAGCGTCTCATCATCATCACAATCATCATCATCATCATTATTATTATTATCATCGCGAGACCTTGCCACGCGACAATGTAACCTTCCACCTTCAGAAACGTTCTCTTAATGAGGGACATTGACTTTTTCTTGTTTAAATCTAACTGACTTTTTAGGAAGCCAGTCCTTATATCTCAAAACCAAAAATAAATAAAGATTTATTCCCATTCAAAATTGCATTTTAAGTGAAAACCTTTTTTTATTTAAACGAGTGGAATTAAGCCGTTTGTCTAAAGATAATTCGATTTTTTCCTTAACCTGCTATGCAACCAAGTAGGTCTAGGGTCTATAGGTCGTAGATTTAATCTTGTTTTTCTTCTCCTTCTGACCATTTGCAAACTAGTGCCGTTTTCGCCACAGGTTCAACAGTATCAGGGTAGAGCCTTAAGCTTATTTTTAATTCGGATCTCGAGAGAGAGATGGCTTGTAAGAATTAAAAAATTACGCTAGGAAAATAAGTTTTAACTTTGTTCACCCAAAAAGTCCTTACATTTATGTTGTAATTTTTTTTGATCAATATTATTCATTTATTCATTACGGGAAGCAAAGAGGGTTATTTCTCAAGATTATCTTAAATGTTTCAACGTTCATATTGATGTTTGACGAACAAGGCTGTGCTAAATTCTTGTATATCGGATATCGTTTATGGCAATATTTTGTGCAAAATTTTGTTCCTACATTATCTCATTTACTTAGCCTTGTAATTAACTCTTTTAAACTTTTTATAACTTAAGGTTATTAAGTAAAAATTTGCTTACCAACTCTGCTTAAATATAAGAATAATTTGATTGTTTTGAAACATCTACAGTTTTACATACGCCAATTCAAGAAAAATTGGAGATAGAAAGCTAGTAAAATTTGCCTGACTTTTAGACAATTAGATGAAGACATATATATATTTGAAATCCATCATATATTTAAGTCATAAATCTGTTCAACCTGGACTCAAAAAGGAAGAATTGCACTTGTAAAAACAATAGGAAATCAATAGGGAAAATTGAAGGCAAAGTTCAGCTCCCGAGTGTTATTCTCGGTCGGCAATTATCGCACGCTTGGCTACTCAATTTAATTTAATTGTTCGACTATTTCTATCCACTCTTTTTTGTGTAATGAGTTCGTTGCAAATTGATCTCCACAAGTGAAAGAACGACAGACTTATAATCAATTAACAGAGGATATCAGTGCCTCATGATAACATGAAGGCAGGCTAAGATAAAAACAACCTTGTTTTTGAACAATAGTAAATTATTCTTAAAGGGATGATTAGCATTTTAATACGTTCCTCGAGTTCTCTATTGGAGGTATATGTTGTAATAATCAATAATAATACAGCAGAAATTCTCATTTTTGCATTATGAGAAATAATGTCCATTTGATGACTTAAGATAAATAAATTCTAATCAAATGTAGCAGTTGATAAATCAGTTTACTCTTAGCTAATTTCGGTTTGTTCCCCCTGTGATCTTATTATTTCAGATTGCATTGTTGTAGAAGCTCAAGGAAAGCTAAGGGTTTCGGAAAAGTGTAATCAGAAGTGGAATCTTCCAAAAATCTACAATCAAATATTATAGGAATTAAATTTATTATAGGAATCAAATATTATAGGTTCTCTCGCCAGCCCCTGATTGGCAGTTATTACAAGTACCTCGATGTATTTTTCCCTTGCACGTGGAACTGGCCGGTACAAGATGCTACTTAAGCTCGAAAAATGACGACAGATGTACCAGCTAGTCGTTATGAAGAAACTCCCAAAGTTTCAGTTTCGATGATTGTCCCTATAGTAATATTCGTTTGAGATCAATTCTAGGGACGAGAGCAATGGGTTGACATGGAAATATGCCAGAATAGAAATTGAGAATGGTTGATAAACAATATTTCGTTAGTTATATAAACAAAGTTTTTTTATTGAAAATGAACAAGATTTTTCTAAGCCTCTAGAAACTATTATTAATTTTTTTTTTTTGGGGATCTAAACCTTTTTCTGGGGGCTGGCAAGCTTTGAACTGAGATGGCAAATATGTTCTATTACGTCATGCAATGCATGCAATCTTTCAACCCAAACACGCATACTGTATAAACACATCATAACTTTGACAAGGACAAATTCGTTTCATTTTTGCGTGGATTTACAGTGTAAGCATCAATCACGGGTATCCATTGTAGCTTGCACAAAAATATTAACTTTTTAATGTACTTGTCTTCTTTGTAGATAAAAATGCACCTTTAAATAGAAATCAACTTACATTAAACTTGATCAATTAGAAACAAAATTCATGTTGAGGCATATTTAAAACATTTTCTTATTCACCAACAGTAAGTTTTTGTGCTTTAAATTATCATTTTCTGTCCCAACGGTCTGCCTCCCAATAGGTTCCAACCCAACAGCCCCACCCCTCTTCCATTACTTTATGGTGTAAAAGAGTAAAAAGTGATTATAACTGGGTCATACCAAATCGTCTGCATTCCATTTATAGATGGTTGAGTTCATGAAGCAGCAGCACTACAGTGTTGGAGATCTTTGTATTGGAAATAAAAAAGATTTTGACTTATATATTTTGACTTTGACTTATTTAATTTTAACTTTCATCCCTTGAACAAAAGGAACTCCTTACATTGTCTTATACGGGGAGAAGAATATCCCGATCAATTTCAGGCACAGAAGAGACTGTAACACAGCCACTTTATGTAACATAGCCTGAATCAATGTTGCTGCCAACTGGGTATTGCAATACATGTGAAAAACAAAATAATACAACAAAGGGATTATAAATCTAATTTGTCTTTTTAACATAACAAGTTTTCATAATAATGCATTTTCCTCCTGGTGCCACCAGCGAAGAGGGCAAAGAATGAAAGCAATCTATATACCAGCTTCTAAACCAGCCTTCGATCATATTTAGAGCCTGTCAAGTCGTTTCCTCTCGTACAAGCGACCATTTTTTAGAGGTTCGAGGGAGTGTTGTGGCCTTTTGCACCGGGTGAGTCTTAATGAGGGCTCCTGTCTAACTGACATTGGCAGCGGTTGACAGTGGCACACTTCGCCTCTCACAATCCGAGAAGCACGACGCCGATATGGGACGTCAAATCCATCAGCAAACAATTCATTAGAATGTTATGCAGATCAAAGTTGATGCCAGATATCCTAAGAAAAATGATGAAACTGAGTAGAGGTGACAGTGAGTAAAAAGTGTATCACTGTTGACAGAATGGGAACTTTTGACGTTTAAAAAAGAAAGGAAGCACTGCGCAGAAAATTGTTCTAAACATTTTCTCATAGTTCAAAAATTGACTCTGTATTTGAACGCAATCTATTATTATATTTGAAGGGGTCAGCTCCTTTGTGGATCCACATCTGTTACAGATTTGCCCAAAAGTATTTTGTTAGAAATCAAGCGAGGGGGGATCTAGCGAGAGAGTGCAATATTAAAGACTTATGACAACTTCACTGGGATTTTAGAACATATTCGGCATGCAATGAATTTTGCTTTCTTCATGACTTTGGCTTCCTGTAGTTATCGAAGACTACGCTGGCCCCATCAGCTCTCCCCGTGACGATGCAGTTCTTATTTCTATGCGCTGAGTCAAAGAGAAAAAGAGTAAAATTTCTTTTATTTTAGCCGTTATTAGACAGCATGCTTCAATATGGTTACCCCCACGAAGGACCATTTTCCCCCAATAAAAGCATCCACCCACATAGTTTTTTATTCCTGCTCTGTCCCATTGTTCTTTATATTCAGGTTTCCTATACATCATCGCTAAATCACTTTGAAGCTTAAATCTCCATTTCAACGAGACCAAACGATGAATTGGCAAAAAAGGTAATCGCGGAAAATCATTGCAATGGAACACTGACTCATGTTCGCGATGTTATTGAAGATAAGGCCACATGGTTTACAGACAACGTGCAAGCTAAAGTGTGGGGAAATCCACACCTTTGGAAATATACGAAATGTTTATTACCCGAAACACAGAAAACGACCATTTTATCTGATCTCTTGTGATATCAAGATTTCAGCGAATGGTTCGAATTACTCAGCCCGTGTCTTTAAGTCCGTCGCCATTTAACTTGAGATGGGATCTGCACTTAACGATATGATTCCTGCATAGCTGCGCGTTTGTACAGCTGTTACATTTAAGGTGGTCATAGTTAGTTACAGATCCCATTATTCATAATTAGTTGGAAATTAATACATCACCCGTGCAATAATGCATCTTTCACTGCTAAATGGCATGGAGTAAAACGAGGCACAGGTGACCGACACTACACAGAGACACGATCAGTAAGAGCACTTTAATCCAGCAACAGTTTACACTTGTTAAGTGGTTCAACTGATACCTGAGCACCGTTCGGGACCAATACAAGCTCAGGCAGCAGATAAACAGATTGATTGCACTGCCTCAGGAGTCGCATTATTGAACATATAATACTATAAATGCTGCAGAATCGAATACTAACTTGTCAGTCACTGGTAAGAACAAAGCGCACACCAGGGTCGGACAGCAGTCTTGCCAAGTGTAAATGCAGCGTTAGTCTTTAAAGCGAGGCCTTGTTAGGAAACTGATCACATCTAACGCATTATTTTGCATGGACAATCGCTATGAACTGGAAAAATGGTTAAGGTGGCCAATTAACTTAAGTGCAACTATTCCTGTCGTGTGGCGGCGAGTAAGAATAACTGATAATAAATAACTGTGATCAAATTTATAAAAACGTCTAGGGGTTTACTTCATGTTTTTTCGGAATAAACTTTCTGCGTTCGATGGGAGGCAAAGTAGGAGTTATCGAAATGCAATTCTGAAAAAAAAAACATTTATTGGGTGTGGGACCTTTGGTGAATAAAATAACATAATTAGAAATTATGCAGAATTTTGGTTACGGTCTCTATATTTTGGTGTTAATTATTGGGTGTTGAACTTTTTGATAACTATTTGTATGATTGTTCTAAGGTAATGTGTATGTAGGCCCTATGTGCTAATGTATTTTGACGTAATATCAAAATATTATGAACAACCACAATCTACATATACTTATTAAGAACAATTCCTACAACAGTCTTTACAAAAGAAAAAAGATTACACATATTATCATCGTTTCCCTTCTTTCATGAGACTGAATTTGGATTTTACACAACTAACACACTGAAAAAGGCGGATGTGCATTTTGGATACAGCACAATCACCAGATATGCCCAGACGTTAATATAGTAATTCTGAGTTAAAAAAAACACAGGGCAGGTCCTATGGAAATAATCTGAGATAGCTCAAAGTCTCTTAACTTGGCCTAAAACTCAAGTGAGATTTCACGGGATTTGGTGGACAGTGGAGTCAGAATAATGCAGTACAGCAAATATATTAAAAGCTTGTAGAATTTCCGGAAATGACAAATTTTACCATTTGTTGTTTGACATGAAAGGTCCCCAGGCGCCAGCCAATTTGAATGTTGAACTCGAGAAGAAAATTACAGGCGCAAAAATGAACGCGTTTCAGACATTTCCCTTAACGCACGACGTCCACCTTAGCCTTTGCATTTCTTTGAACCTCTGCAACCAAACAAAAGTCACCGGCTTCGCTGGTCATGATAGGTCAATAAAGACACACAATTAATAATAATAATAATAATAATAATAATAATAATAATAACATGTATATATAAAATGTATATTAGACATTCGTTAATGTTCGAGCTCTTTAAAGTGAAATATAAAACCATGAATGTTTAAGATGTTAAAAGAAATATATTAATTTATATTTCAAAAGACAATTGAATTAAAATAAATAGTTAAAATAATGAGCAGCTGAAGTGTAAAAGTTCTTCCAAAAAAGATAACTGTTTTTTTAATGTTAAAAGTCACTTGTTACTAGATGGATTTTTTAAAATAAAAGCTGGATGACAAAAGAAACTTATTGTGTTCCCCAATGGTAGTTCATGTCCAGTTATTTTACTGCATAGACAATACTATTCAATTTCCATTTATACAACTGAGTTGCGACACCAAACCATTTGATTGAAGTAAATTTTAAAATGCCCTCTACTGAAGCTCTGTAAAAGTTGATTAAATACTTGACGTGTTAGTAAAAACTTTAAGCTTTCTTAATAAATAAATCCTCACCAGAATTCGTGTGTTAATTTGTTGCTCATGTAGACCCCTAGATATTTAAACTTCACTTTGCACCTCAACACTTTGCACTTCAGTGATTTTAATGGACTTCGGTAACTTAATAGTTTAGTTCTTTCAACACTAACTCGTTTTATAATCAAATCGTTTGCAAATCAAATCGATGTAATTACCTCTTTGTAGGTAGGTCATCATTCTGGCTCATAAGACCAACTAGTGTGGTATCATCCGCATATTTCATCAAATTAAAAATGTGAACATTGTACACAATCACGGGTTAAAGAGATAGAAGGCCTGATAATTACGCTCTCTCAAGGACTTCTGGTGTTTAAAATTGTTTACAATAGATGTATTACCTTTCTTTCACCTTCTTTCCCTTCAGCAGACGTATTTCAAGTATCATGATAACCGTGTTACAGTGCTACATTTACACATTAAAGCTAGTGTATCTATGCATCTCATAAAGGTCACGTGGTAAGCACAGCAATCACGGAGAGATATCCCCTCAGTTTTGCAAGACTTATCGGAAAAAAGGGCGCTTACCGGTAGTTTTTGCTTGTTCAAGTTTTTCTATTACTTTATTGGTCATTGTTTGCTAATAATAATAATAATAATAATAATAATAATAATAATAAAGGTTTATTGTGTTCTTTGCAATATATAAGACATATATTGAATGTATATGTATAAAAGTATAAAGATGTAGTACTAAAATAGAGCTTTAAGATAAATTCTAAGTTATAAAACCAATAATGAGGTTAAAAATGGTGATTCGTTGTTATTTTCAAAAGCTAAAAGTTAATGGATAGACCTAGATCATTGACACGTATATAAACAGTGTGGGATAAAAGTGTTTCTATATCTTTTTGTCCGACATTTTGGTAAAACATATCTATAAACATTCCTTAGGTCCTTTTCTATGACACGAGTGTTAGGTAAAAGATGGTTTAATCTATGTGTACACAGTTTTATCTCGTTAAATAATTTTTTGCACAAGTCAGTACGCCGAGATTTCAAGGTAGGTAATTCAGTGATGTCCATTGCTTCGTTGTAAGTGAGTTCAGGGTATATAATATGAAGAGCCCTTTTTTGGATGTTCTCTAATGCTTTAGATTGCTGTGCGGTAATTCCAGCATGCCATAGCTGACAAGCGTACTCATGAGTGCTGGTAACCATTGGCAAAAAGCCCATCGTCGTTTTTTTATAATTTGCTATTATAAAGTTTATGCATATATTTGTTGCGTGAAAAAATATCATATGGTTTGAGGCATCGTTACTTAGTTTTTTTTTTTAATGAGTGATATAGGGGGGGGGGGAGCCAGATTTACCTGTTGCATGCAGTCTAATGAATCAGAACAACTTGTTTCAGCATATATATATTACATGAATGATTTTTTTCTATTGAAGCATGTCTTGTTCTGTAAAAGGGAGTTATATGTTAAATACTTGTGCTGTGGCACAAGTAAATTGGAAAGAAACTGTATATTTTAAAATCTTACAGAAGAGGGAGAGGGGTGGTGTATTACGGTATTTTCTCAAAGACATCACTGCTTTCACTCTACAGTATAAAAGTCTTGTAACTAGGACAACTTGTTTCAGCATATCTATTCATTTTATGTAACTTTTCTTTAAGACCAGCATTTGTTGGTCTAAATAATTGTATTGATGACCAATATACATTTTGTACAAGGTTCTGTAAAAAAATGCTGAAAGCAAAATGCTGTTTCAGTAGCAAAAAATATCATTTGTAAAAGCACTCTAAATAGCTGCATGTATTTGGAATCTTCCCAATAACCATAAAATAAGCAAGATATAAACTGACCCAAAATAATGATAAGGTAAAAGTAAAAACTGAATGAAAATAAAGTATACATAGTAACAGTTATGGCCAATAATCTGTATGACAATGATATCAAATAATAAAAAAGTATTTCATATGATTATAAGTGTGATATAGACCTTGTATAGCACTGCAATAGTTACATTATACAAAATATACAAATATGAGAATAAAAAATGTATTTAAAAATCATCACTTTCGATCTCACTAATACTGTCACCACTTGATTTTGGTAAATATGAGGCATCTAAACAGCCTTTTCCACAACATAATTTTTGACTGTATCCCTGCTTCATGGCAAACCCCATTTACCACAGGACTGAAAGTGATATGTGCACAACTTCCGACTGTCCAACACCTACTTAACACTGACAGTACCAGCCACTGATGGATCTGGTATTGCTACGGGAGGTCTGAATCCATAGTCAGTACCAGTGGCTATAGCAATTAAGTCAATAGGTTTTCACTGATCTCCTTGACAACAGGAGCCATTCCTAGCATTTTGGCAAAAAAATCACAATGCTTTCACAAATAGTGCTGGTTTGGAAGGTTAAATCATGAGTAACAAAACTAGGGTGTTTGTGATGGAGCCCTTTATTTTATTTTGTATGCAAAATAAATGTACCGGGTATTTTTCTTTTTTGATAGCATGCATTACATGAAAATGAATTTTGTTTTTCTGCTTGCAACTGAAAATGTTTTACTAATTCTAACCCCTGCTTCCCTTTGAAACCCCTACAATTTTTTTCAGAGTTGTTCTTTATGTAGAAAAGATACACTTTGTCTGTCTACCCATCCTAAGTAAGCATGTAGCAGCTACCTCATGGCAGGAATAAAAATGGCTGCCTGCTAGCATATGGACTGAAAATGTCTACATAAGTTTGAGTAGATATCAAACCCTTCCCTAAGACAAGCTGATTTTCAAATATATCTCACCTTATATTCATGTCTCTTCAACCACGAATAATTAGCTTGTCTTAGGCAGGGGCTCATATAAAAAATGAAGATCTTTTATCCTAAAAGCAATAAAAGCAATCAAAATATTGATCACAAGCAATGCTTGGCCACTAATTGATTCTTTTTCAAACTGGCACCCTCTGTACCCAATTACAAAATTTCACAGTTGTCACCTTACTACAACTATAGGAATGTATCAATGTATTTCAGTACTCCCCTAAGACACACATTTGACAAGGTCATTTTGACATTACTTTTTATATTTCAAAATTTAAAAAAAAATTTACAGTGAATCATAAAATTGTAAGAATTTAATTTTCTTTTGATATCAATTTTTTTTTTTTTATTCATTTACAATTTATTTTTCATGTAAAAAGGTGAGCACTTTTACACTCTTATCAGCGCTCAATGGAGTCATCCTTTGTGATGGAAAGGTGGGTTATCATTTTTTCAGTTGTTTTGCCGATTAGTATCAGTATGTTGGATCTAGGATCCTAGATTGTATGTTGAAGCTTATTATTTTCACTAACATGAAGTGAATTTTGTGCAAAAGTAAATAGGGTACAGTCCGACTCGGATTACTTCCTAGCTACAAGCACATACATATCCGTTGCATCAGAGAATTGTACTTCTGGTGTTTGGCAGCTATACCACTTTATATCCCTCAGTCCTGCCTTCTCCACACCTTTGATGATGGTTTCCTTGCCTACACCAAGTGTCCTGAACCATACACCACCAATTTTGTATCTGGTTTCGTCGAGAACATTACCCAGAATGAGCACTCCACCATCTTTCAAGAGTGATGAAACGTTTTTGATGACTTGTTCGAAATCGGTTCCATCTCCACATGCCTGTTCCAGACAAAAGAAGCTGGTGACGCAGTCGAATGGCTCACAAATCACAGGGTGAAGGGGGTTGTCCTTACGTACGTCGCATGCGTAAATGTCAGTCATTTTCTTGCGAAAGTTTTCTTTGTCGGTTTCCCACATGATCCTTGAAGTAGAAAAGAAACTGGCCGTAAGAATTTTTAAACGTTTTTTTTTTCAAGGTGGGATGTGAAGTACTTTAATTTGAAAGGATTAAGACATAAACTTTCATATTAGCAACAGATCGAGGCGTCTGATCCGAATTATATCGATTCTTACTCATCGCCCTCTAGTCCTGCAACGTGTTTAAAAGCTGGATCCCAGTCAAACACATCCATTTCACCATCTTTCCATTTTTGGAGGGCCTCTCTGTTGCTTGCTGTAAAATCACTGAATATCAGCTCATTGAACCAGTTGGCGGCACTAATATGATTATTAATTGATGGACCGCTGCCAAGGTCCAGTAGTCGTTTACCATGAATATGTCCTGTAATAAGATATGTATATAGTAAATTAACATCGTTTTGGAAATTCAGTCTAATTATAAATGGTAAAGCGTATGGTTTCCATATGCATTTAACCTAAAGTAGGCCTTCCTTTCATTATTATTTAATTCCTTGGTAATCTAAAACAGAGTAAAGCGTTTTTTATGTAAAGAGGATAATAATTCTTTCTTACAGACCGTTCAGTGCATCTAGATCAAAATGACGAAAAGCGATGACGTATGCAAATGCCATATTATAATATAATGTGAATTCGACAAATTATTTGACTTGTCTGTTTTATTTCCCAATGTAATTGTGACGTTCGCTTTGTTGGAATATTTGATTCATTTTTATTTGCACCGTGTCTCTGCACATTTTTGTACCCTTTCCCCCAACTTCATAACTACGTACAATCCTATGGAATACTGAGAACAATATTCTCCTGCATAGCTTATTTGGAACTAATAAACTATAGTTGCCGTTTGTGATCTCGAGTGCCGAATGATTACATGATTACTTGTCGCGAGCATCGCAAGGTAGCGGGAGTGCACCGTTACTGATTTGGCAAGCTTTTATCCGGGTTTCTCTCTGTTTACAAACAGTAAACATGTACTTTCAATATGGCAAAAGCAACAGCGGACTGCGCTTCCTAGCTTTCAGAGATTTCAGTCAAGAAAGACATTTTCTCTCTCCATTAAAACGAAAAGGATAGGATTTCTGATTTCCATACCAAGGCTTAGGCCTAAAGTTTCAAAACGTTTAAGTACACCAGCAGTGGCGGATTTAGAGGTGGGGGGCCCTGACCCTCCCCTCCCCCCCCTTCCTTCGATTTCTGGTTTCCTCTTGAAATTTGAATTTTGACTAGCTGAATCAAAGTTCTAAACCATACCAAATGGCACCGTTCCCCCTCTAAAATAACAATATTTTCGGGGCCCTTCAGCGGGCCCCAAACCCCACGCCAAGTGGGCACGGGTGGCGGTCGGCATCGCATCCGCGGACCCCCACCCCCCCCCCCCCCCC